GTCTGATACCTGGCTATCATATCATCCACGTAGACCTTTATCTCGTGATGGAACATATCATGAAACAAAGCTACCATGGCACGTTGATAGGTTTCCCTGATGTTCTTTAGTCCAAATGGCATAACTTTGTAACAGAAAGTTCCCCACTTTGTGACAAAGGTTGTCTTCTCCATGTCTTCAGGTGCCATCTTGATCTGATTATACCCGGAAAAACCATCCATGAAGGAGAATACATTATATTGTGCGGTGTTGTCAACTAGGACATCAATGTGAGGAAGTGGAAAGTCATCCTTGGGGCTTGCCCTGTTCAGTTCTCTATAATCCACACACATACGTATCTTACCGCCCTTCCTAGGCACTGGAAAAACATTAGCGACCCATTATGGATAATACGTGACAGCTAAGAAACCGGCATTGAATTGTTTCACGACTTCAGCCTTGATATTTTCGGACATATCCGATCGCATACGATGAACCTTTTGTTTCACTAGAGGGTAGTCCTCCTTTATAGGTAGGTGATGAACCACAATATCAGTGTCAAGTCCCGGCATGTCTTTGTATGAACAGGCGAAGATCTAAATATAATCATGCAACATCTGGACTAACCATTGTTTGACAGTGGACTCCAAGTTAGCACCTACCTTGACTTCTTTTTTGTCCTCTTAAGTACCCAAGTTCACTGTTTCAACTGGCCCTTCATGAGGTTGTATTGCCCTCTCTTCCTGTTGTAACAGTCCAGAAAGCTATCCTGGTACCTCACAATCTTCCTCACCTTTGTCCTCGGCTTGGTTGATCCGATTTTCAAATTCATAATAAGCAATAGCAGAACCGTTGTCAATCGAATCCAGAGTCGATGTGGATCTGCAATTTATTTTGTGAGTGTGTGTAAGAGCATAGCTGTATATTTTTGGTAAAGTAAAGAGGCAGAGAAGAAAAACAAAGAGCGTAAAATTTGCATGTGAAACGTCCAATGTTTTATTGATGACATATGAAAATGAAACAATGACCCTCATAAATAGACCATTGTACCGCGGGTAAGACACAACACTTTAATATTTCAATTGTTCAAATAAAATAAAAAGACAAATTACTCTTGAATAAAAGTAATGGGCACAAAGTCTTTAGCCTCCCAATTGTTGAGTCCACCACCGATGGTTGGAAATATCAACTTGTCCAGGTCATAATCACTATCTCTATCTTCCATAGCATTGACTCCTTGGTTGCTGGTCGGCAAAGGTGGTTCCCCGGCGCGAGCCCGACGAGCAACTCTCTAGGCTCCTGAAGTAAAACCCAAACCAAATTTGTCAGATTTGTAGGGAATATCCAGAAGTTGGCCCTTATGGACCCGCCTTCTTCAACTACTGCCTTGGCATCTTTCAGAGAAGTCATCTTCAGCAGAGGCCTAGTAGTCTTAGGAACATTGGCAATGGTCTTGGTTGCAGCAATGGTCTGTGGAACCTCCTCAAAGTTTTGACATGGAGTCTCAATGAACTCACCGTCCATTTTGACATACCTGAAAGAGTTCAGGTGGCTCACCATGTACTCCTCCTCCCCATGGACTGTGATAATTTTCCCATTGACTGGGTACTTCAGCATCTGATGTAGGATAGAAGTCACAGCACCAGCCCCATGGATCTAGAGTCGACCCAAAAAACAGGAGTAGGACAGGCGAATGTCCTTCACATAGAAAGTGGAATTAAAAGTCTGAGTACCCACTTTGATAGGGATGTCTACCTCCCCATGCACCATTCTTTTAGAACCGTCGAGGGCTCTCACTACAATGTTACTGGGCTTCAGAGTCAATTCTTCTCAATCCAATCTGTCGAGGGCCTTCTTGGGAAGAACATTCAGCGATGAACCTGTATCCACTAGAACATGGGCCAAAGTAGTGCCCCTGCACTCGATAGAGACATGCAGATGAAACAACTGGTTGTAAATCATCAAACAATGAAGTCGCCATCAAACTTCTTTTATCCCACATGAAGGGAAAGGTAAACATCGAGAAAACCTGAGAAGGGAGAAGTCACGGTCTTGCGACCGAGAGATCGGGTAAGGGAATTTGTTACGCGAGGGGAAGGTATTAACACCCCACACGCCCGTAATACTCTATGGTATCCAATCTTGTTATCTATCTTATGGGTGTGTTCAATATATGCTTATTGTTTATTACTTCTAAAGGGAGAGTGCATGCAAAAGAAAGGAGAAAATAATGTAGGGAAAATAAAGTTGTACTCGCTTGGGCCCTACCCCAATGCCTACGTATCCTTTTTGAGGAATCAGAGCTAACGTAGTTTGGATCACATGTTTTTGTTTGTTTTTTGTTTTTTTTATAGACGATGTTAATTCTGCCTTCTTCCGCAACTCGATCTTTGGAGAATTATGTGTTGGCACAGAAGTAGATTAATCATGTCCTTACCTGAAAATGGTGTTCTGAGAAAAGGTGCTTGGAGGCACAAAAAGATTTGAGTTGGTTTGTATTTTGTTATCTTGAAAAAAGGGGTTTAAGTATGATTAGCATGTTTTTGATTTTCTAAAGAAAAAGAAGCTTTAGTTTTAAATGCATATGCAAAAGGGGAAGAGAAGAGTCTAAGGGAGACTAACCTATTTCTAACCTAATGTTATCATACAATGGTGGTCCTAAGATTTGGATTAATCAAAAGGGAAACATCTACCTAATGTTAGCATGCATGGCTTACAACCTAAGGTCTAACCCGCGTCCGAAGGGAGCAAGCACGTCCTAAGGGAACATGGTATGTACAAGGGTAAAGTAAACAAGCTAATAAGCTCAAGAGAGCACACCTAGAGAGATCCTATCTAGGTTAGCATGTCGAAGAAAGTCTAACAAAACTATCATATAGGGAACATGCAGTGAGAGCGAAGTCGTGATCTCAATTTCTAAATTGAGTGACTCATCGATCAACAAGAAATAAAGGAAAGCGATATAATCCTATAGGGAGCATGCACTGAGAGCGAAGTTGTGATCTCAATTTCTAAATTGAGTGACTCATCGATCAACAACCAAAGAACAAACATAAGCACAACACATATAGCAAATGAAGTGCGAAATGCCTGCTACAGGTATTTAAACAACGACTTCGAGCGCACGCTATTTATTTCCTACTTCTCATGGTATCTAGAAAGCAATAAAATCCTACTTCTCATGATATCTAGAAAAGCGGTAAATAAATGTAGTAAACTGCGAAGAAGTACGAAGGTTGTAGCGGAGACTACCAAAGCGAGCAAATCGTCAAGAGCGAATGAAAGCAATCGAGAAGCATGGGGGTATGCGTCGAGCAAGCTTTACCAAGAAACAAACAAAGTCAGAAATAATATCCAACTAAGATAAAGGCAAACGCGTGTTGCAAATTTAATGCGTAATCAGAAGTTCCTGCACAAGATATCATAAAGTATCACATGCATCAGGACAACATATAATACAATATGAATTTCTCAGGACGATGAGAAATAAGGCGTGCCGTATCGGGAGCAGCATAAACCGTATGCTTTGATTACATAATTTCCCGTTATGTTACATAATCAAAAGCAAAAGCGATGTACCTTGAACAATGAACAGACACGTCAAAATAACACGGCAAAGCAGCGCGAAGATGCGGATAAAAACAACCGGAGTCTATTCGACGCGATTTCCGCAGTGTTGATGACGAGAAAAAGTATCAGGTACACATTCTTGTCTCAATTCAGTTTCTCCGATTAGTTCTTCGTCCTCCTCTTCTTAGTGTTCTTTCCTTCTTCACTTTCACGTTTCTGAACTAGTTGAGTCATCCCGTTTTGCAGTAGTTGGTGTTAAAATGTTGTTGCGATAATATTGATGACGCTGCTAGGATATTGATGAAGACGCTGGAGATTGAAGAAGGTATGATGAAGGTGATGATGATTTGAAGTAAGTTGTAGAGATGATACGAAAGTGTTGATTGCAAAACAAAAGGTTGAAGGAGCAAGATGATAATGATGAAGGTGTTTGGATATGTTTTCACGGTGTTGAAGATGATGTAGAGAGAGAGGGATGATTGATGAAGGTTGCAGTAGGTGAATCCCGAACGAGAAGAGAGAATTCAGAGGATGAAGAAGAGCGCAGAAAGAGACCTCTTTGATAATTTTCTGGTGAGTTCCCCTCTAACCAATTTTTTTTTTGTGAATGAATCAAGAATCGTGAAAACTTTTTTATCTCCCCCTTTATTACATTATGTTATATTATGTTATATCCCCTGCTGGAAGTTTGTTACAGAATTGGTTAGAAGATAGGAATCTGTTAGAAATTGGTTCAAACAGTTAGAAGGATAGAAATTCTGTTTTCTGTTATGCGGTTTTATGTTACAGCTTGGAAGTTTGATTGAAAGCTTTTTTGGACTGTTGGGGAATTAGTTTAGAAAACAGTTAGGGGGTTGTGAATAGAGTTTTATTTCTGGTTTATTCTGTTAGCAATGCCATTTGGAGAAGTTAGGAAGTTATAAAAAACTGTTAGCATTTGTTACAGTTAGTTAGAAAACTGTTAAAGGTTAGTTGGAGTTCAGTTTGGTGGTTATGGTTATAAGTTGGTTGGAATTCTGACTGAACAACGTCAAGAAACTGGGAAATGTAATCTTGAAGGCCATGTTACGGTTTGACATTTAGGATGATTAACTGGACTGGTGGAACTAGCCAAACATCAGCTGCATTGCTTGAGGTTAACCTCAACTGTTTTAGAATTATTTGAACTTAATGCATTGGACCTGTGACAGAGCTGACGTGTGTATGGCTGGATGTTGAAGGTGGCGCTAATTATGCAGTTTTGAATAATGCAGGTGACGGAGCCTTGTTGAGAGCTACTTCCTGGAATCAATGCGCGTGTAAATGATTCACCATCACTTTGAATTTTGGCTAAATCATTCCTTCTGTCATATAACTTGAGTGTTAGCAATGTTTGAACTCCAACTTTGGTTGTTTATTATGTATTGTAGGTACTTGCTTTCTCCCCTGGCCTTGTGTAGCCAAGAAGTAGCCTATAACAGTTCATCAGATTTTGACTGGCTTAATAGCTTGGATGAATAACTGGTATATGTTTTCTTAAAGACAATTGAAGTAGCAGAAAGAGCAGCAACCATCTTAGCTTCAGCCCCCGTTCCAGGGGAATTAGCATCAATCTTGTATGTTGTTCTCGGTATATCCATGTCTTCTGGATGCTCCCAACAATTATGATATGCATTTCCATATCCTTTTTGTGCAAAGATACTTAGCATCTTTTACATTTTATATTTCTCCTCGTGACCTCTTGGAATGTACTCATGTCCTTTTCCATGAGTTTGAACAATAATAACATGATGTTGACTTTTTATGTAACTCCCTTGATTGTTGTAATGAATCTGACTTTGTAATTGTAATCTCTTTATAGTTTTCTCGTGGATGAACTTTTGTAAGGACCTTGAATGGATTTTGTGGTTGAACTTGGACAAAGGTGTATTGGTAATTGATGGTGAAATGATACTTGCATTTGAAATGTATTGTAAACTTGAACCTATGAATGAATAAAATGCTGAATTCGAATTTAATGAACTTTGAACTTGATTGTAACTTGATTTGGAAGTTAATGCATCTTTCATTTTTAACACCCATATAAACTCTAACCGACTTTGAATAATCTTCAATTCAATGAAAACCCATAATTCAACTCTTCCATCCATGTTAACTTGAATTGTAAGCAACACACTAATGCCTTGTTGAACACTTCATTTTTTGTAGCATGAACCAAAACCTTGGAAACTCAATCTTCAAATATTTGATTTGGCAAAATTCTTTTCCACTTGATGATTTTAACACAAAATAATACCTTTGAAGCATCCTTGGATGAAGATGAATGATACTTGAATCATAGCGGAAAATATTTAACATGACCCTTTCTATGATATTTATACTGATGAATGTCATCAAGCTCAAACCATATAGAAGAAACCCTAGATTTAAGATCCTTGATTCCATGCCCAGTTTATCAACGATGCATGATTTATTGTATGATCTAATGGAAAATGCACATGAAAACATGCAACATACATAAGTCGGATGATTCGATAAAAGGGTAGGACAAATTTGGGGTATTACAGCTGCCCCTATTTATCATCTTAAACCTGAAAGTACGATCGGCGCTTGCCTTTCGGAAGTTCGAGGTAGAAGATGATTAAATAACAATACCAAGAATTTTTCCTGTAAGATGGTAGTAAGTGTTTATTTTTGCAACATCCGCTGGGGAATTAAAAAAAGGGCGGAACTAAACCGGAGATATACGTCGATCAGGACGACATCAGAATACATCGATCAGGGCACGATGACTGAAAGGAAAGCACTGATTAGGACATGATGATTGAAAGGGAGACATCGATCAGGACATGATGGATTTTTGAATCGATACAGACGAGTATTGTAAAAAGATACGAACGAGTATCAAGAAAGGTTTAAACACAGACGAATGTTTGAATCAATATGGACGAGTATTGAAATAAAACACAGATGAGTATCAAGAAAGGTTAAACACAGACGAGTGTTTGAATCAATACAAACGAGTATTGAAAGAATATACAGACGAGTATCTATAAAGGTTAAAACACAGACGAGTGTTTGAATCAATAAGGACGAGTGTTGAAAGAAGATACATATGAGTATCAAAAGGTTAAACACGAACGAGTGTTTGAATCAATACGGACGAGTATTGAAAGAAGATATAGACGAGTATCAAGAAAGGTTAAACACGAACGAGTGTTTGAATCAATACAGACGAGTATTGAAAGAAGATATAGACGAGTATCAAAAGGTTAAACACAGACGAGTGTTTGAATCAATATGGACGAGTATTGAAAGAAGATACAGATGAGTATCAAAAGGTTAAACACATACAAGTGTTTGAATCAACACGGACGAGTATTGAAAGAAGATACATATGAGTATCAAGAAAGGTTAAACACGGACGAGCGTTTGAATCAATACAGACGAGTATTGAAAGAAGATACAGACGAGTATCAAAAGGTTAAACACGAATGAGTGTTTTAATCAATACGTATGGGTATTGAAAGAAGATACAAACGAGTATCAAAAGGTTAAACACAGATGAGTGTTTGAATCAATACGGACGGGTATTGGAGGAAGATACAAACGATTATTAAAAGTTTTAAACACATACGAGTGTTTGGGAGACTGACATGGATGAGCGTTTAGGAATTGACACGGACGAGTGTTTAGGAATTGACACAACGAGTGTTTAGGAATTGACATGACGAGTGTTTAGAAGTTGACACGATGAGTGTTTAGGGAACTAACACAGAAGAGTGTTGGAAGACTGAATTATTTGTCAGACAAGAATTGGCTACCAGACAAAAACTGGGTCTAGAATGACAAAGTGTATTGATTTTGTTGGGAATTATGAAAGTGAAGGTCACCAGGTGGGGATTTGGGAATGATATCCTCTTGTAGGTATGTATTATTGTCCTTGAATGATTCAGGTCTTTCGTGTAGGGTACCTGATCTGACTTATGCTTCGTATGCATGTTTGAATTTCTTTTGCAGTAAAGATCCATTCTGATGGATCAGCTACGCGATTTTGAGGATGCAATGTTATGCAGTGATAGCTATATGCAATGTCAATAAATAGACTTCATGGGGATAAGAGAAGGCCCATTGGGAACTGTTGCTCATCACTGGGGATGCCAATACATATCGGCGTTGGAAGCCTGCAGTATCGAGGACTGTTGGGGACATTGGTAAGAACTTGCATTGGAGAGCTCATGACACCGAAGATTATTGGTGATTCTACTGGAGATTGAATTGATGACGAAGCGAGTCTTCAGGTACTCCACTGAATTTCAGATTGTGTTGTTGGGGAAGAGATAATGAACACCTATGTGAATCTCTCCAGATACATGCCCCAAGTTTACGCCACACTGGGGAATTACCTCTTGGATTACTTGGGGGTAGAAAATGGGTATGGACACCCGCGAATGCCCCGGTTTAGCTCTGCGGACGCCCCAGTTCAGCTCTACTGGGGATGTACTTAATTAACTCGACTGGGGATGCACTTGTGCGTGCTGAGTCAAACGATGACTCTGGACTTTCTGAATTTACTTAGGAAATTAGGTTTGAAATTGTCTGTAGTAGATGAAGGCAGCTTTGTGCGCTGGCCAGGTGTTGTACCCCAAAATTTTCCCTCTCAATTCTCAAGGCATCTCTCACAATGATTCTCAAAATTCAAGCTTGCACAAGTACATTGGGATTTTCCAGCACCATAATTAAAAGGAAACTGTCAAAAAGGGAGAAAACAGATAAAAATAACATTTCGAAAAATTTGGAGGAAAATAGGTCTCCTTCGATTCAGCCCCCTTCGATTGGAATTTGCATCTCCTTCGATTTCTCAAAAGATGTTGCTAGTGTGCCTCTTTCATCTGGGCATGTGACTTCTTGTTGTAGGATTCGTTTGTGTCTTCCACTTCCTGCGTGTTTGCTTTGAGTACCAAATTTTCTGCCACAAGTTCCCCCTAGAAGGCAAGCCTTTTGATTGGAAAAGTTTGTTTCCTGCATACAAGCCTTCATTTGGGCATTCAACTCCTGCAAATCTGCGTGTGAGCCTTCGTTTTGGCATTCATCTCTGGCCATGCCTACATGCAAGCTTCAGTTGAGCAAGGAATTCATGCCACTTGGGTTACATCTTTCATTTGGGTATTGAAAGCTTCCTTCGACTCAGAAGGAAATGATCTTCATACAAGCTTCAATTGAGTTTTTGTTTCCCTTTGAAACAGTGTCCTTCGACTCAGGAATGTCCTTCGACTTAGGAATGTCCTTCGAATCAGGAAGTAAAGGCCTCCTTTTGGTTTTCTTCAATTCAAAAAGCCAATAATATTCCGAAAGCTTCCTTCGGTTCAAAAGTTAATAACCTTCTGAAAAGTGTCATTCGATTGCACCATTCGCCCCTCACCTGTTTTCCTTGGATTCATAAGTTATCGGTTGGATGAATGGATACCTTCCTGTGACTTTTAAATTCATCTTCATGGATGATTCGAATGCACCTTCATATCACCTTCGAATCCATCTGTAAATCCTTCAATACGCCATAGTCCTGCATTATGACACACAACTTGGTGGTCCATTGGAAGGACTTGCCATAGTTGGGGAATAATTGTTCTCTTACTTTGGAGTCTGGTCGAAGGTTTGGGCCTAAGTTATTAAAAGCAAGAAGACTCAAAATGGCATATCCAGCTAAAAAGAGCCATTCGAAGAACACACAGTTGGTTCATTCTAAGGACACACAACTGGTGAAAATGAATGATGTGTTGTTCTAGTCTAGTCGAAAGGTGTAGAAAGATGGAGGATTCGACTCAAAAGATCAAGTTGAACATTTAGACCCATAGGCTAGGCTACATGTTTTCCCTTTTCAGGCCTTAAACCTATGACTCACCCTATACTTAATTGTTTATGCAAGTTAAAATAGGCCTTTACCCATTTGTTGTTCAAGACCACTTGCACTTAATAGCATAATACTACCTTTTAGAAAAGTTTGTCTTGAGCCTTGTGCCTGTATTCCTTTAGAAAGAAGAAACCCATCTGAACCATTCATCTTGCTTTTATGGCACAAGTGGACACTTACTTTCCAGAGCCTTATTTTATTATTTTTGCTCCCCAAGCTTCCCAAAAGCCTTTCTCTATAAATAGAGAGTTCATTTGCACAAAGAAAGAGAGAAGGAGGGGAGGGGAATGTATCTTCAAAATTCTCAAACACTTCAACACTTGTGAAATAAAAAAAAACAGAATCATCGTTACCTCCTTCAATTCTGAAGAACAACACATTCCAGTTTCCTTCGACTCAAGGAGCATCCCACTTGTTCCTTCCTTTGAATCCAGCAATAAAGGATATTTCACTTGTTTTGATCTTTCGAATCCAGTGTCAAAGGCCTACCCTGGGTCTTTTCCTTCGAATCCAGAGGCATTTAAAGCAATCACTTCAAAGTCCAGAACACGCTCCAACCTCCAGCAAGGTAAGTCATTTTTAACCTTTGGCCCTTCGTTTCTAGCATAGCATGTAAATAAGTTTTCTTTTTCATTTAAAACATGTACATACTATTTTCTTATTTTTGTTTTCACTCTCTTAATATGTGTTATGGTTAACAATCTTCTTGGCTTTTGCTCTTGGTACATTTAAATACGCTTTAAAGAACTAATCTAGTCTTAAGGTGATGTTGGCATGGCCTTGGGCCATGTTGCTATT